AGGATCTTGAAGGCGAGGAAAAGGATCAGTCATGCCGAGTTGGTTGCCGAGACGATCAAGGCGACAAGGAATAGGGGTACACTGGAGGTCAGTGGGATTAAGAGGAATATCGATCGGTTGATCGAGAAGGAGTTTTTGGAGAGGGAGGATGATGGGCTGTATGCTTATATCGCCTAAAGCGCAGCATGAGGCGGGACGAGGAGGTTGTGCTTGAGTGTGTAGTTATATTGGCAGGAAAGCATGAGATAGTATACACCAGTCGTAGAGTCATACGAGGGGACTTGGGTCTGTGTGTAACTTGATTGTGGACGGTGATCTAGATCTAATGCTAGCCTAACAATGCTTCCGTCCCTGCGCCGAGAAGGCTGGGTATCAAACACAAAACGCCATCATAATGCTCGTCAAATCGTATCATCTCGCACCTGGCCCTGCCAGCCTACACTCACCAGGCAACCCAGGTAGGAAACCTACTCAAACCACCCCCAATGCCTCTTAACACTCCAATCAAACCTCGTCATACCCACAAGATCATCACCATTGAGATAATCAACCCCCAGCCCGACCAAATCCCACCACACTCTGTTCCTCAGCGCAATGGGCCACTTGGGCGCGCCCCAGTACCGGACCTTTAGCCCACGCTGATGGGCGCCCTTGATCTGGCCCTTGATCAACTCGGTCTGTTTGGCGGTAATGCGACCCCACCAGATACGGCCAACACTCTTCTTGAAATTGGTAGATGCGTAGAAAGAATTTGTTGCGTCGAAGTGAGAATCCGGCGTGGTGCCGACGGTGCCCTGGCCAGATGAACTAGTGCTCGCAGGCGCGGTCGAGTTAGTGTCGTCGTACTGTGCTTGATCGAGACCCTCTGCGTCTTGGACGTCGGGTGCGACGTATAGTCTGTCCAGGGGCGCGTCGAAGAAAATATCGCGGTAGGTTGAGTTGGCGACTACGAGGTCGAAGGGCGCGTTTCCCGTAGCGACGACGGTGATGGGGCCCTCGTGCGTGCTGGTGCCGTCAAAGTAGCTCAGGTAACCCTTCTCGCGCAGCGCGTTGATTTGAGATGATACATAGGGCCAGATCTGCGAGCCGTTGTTTTTGAAGTCGACAAGGAGGACGAGGGTCTGTTGGGGCGCGGTGTCGAAGACACCACGCTTGAATGTCGAGTTCAGGTCCGCGGGGGAGAGGAAGGAAGTGTTGGAGTTTTTGTGGTCGAGCATCTTCACCAGCGGATCCACGTACATGGATGTGAAAGTGCGGTTCTTGGTCAGCGCGTGGGTGCTGTGACCGACGAAGAGGTCCTCGTCGAAGAGCCACACGTCGGCCTCTACGCCAGTGCATCCCCAGCGGAGGGCGTCGTAAAGGGGAACACGGCGCCAGTAGTCGTTGTGGGAGTGGCATGGGATCGGTGTTACGTCTTTGGTGATGTCCAAGAGATATGATGCCATATCTGTGGAGGCTTGGTTAGGTTGGGTCCAGTCCAGGGCAACGGCGGCAGGGTCATCATGGATCAGGGGGAGATACCCCAGACCCACATTGACAATGTGCACACAACCACTGAGATTGTTAGTATGGTGTTGCTCTAGCCCGCGGAAGAGTGGTGTGCAGCCACAAGGCTGGGAATGTCATGGCCGCGTACACTGTATACGCGGCAGACGGCGGATCACTTACAAAAAGAACACAATGAAGCCCACAATCCCCAGGCATCCCCATGCACCGTCTCTCTTCCTCCAAACATACTTCTTTGCTCGCCGAGCTCTCCTTCTCTTCTCAAAAGCTGGTAATCTTCCAGTTTCGTAGTCGACTCTGGATAGAGAAGGCCGCCTCCTCCGAACTGCCATCAAGCAACGGCCCCAGAATGTGGGGTGTGGTCCTAACGAAGCGTCGCTATCCGAGTCTGAAGTGTCGCCATCCTCCAGGGCACGCTCTGTGACAGTCGAAAAATCCTTGTCTCCGCGAGGACTCTTTGCGCGCGAGATGTCAAAGTCGGACGTGAGATGATTGTGCAAGAGAGGCTGGGCGCTGGGTGAGGCGACCCGCAGTTCGGCGCTGCCGGAAGCCATTGCTGTCAGATTGGTGACGATTGGCGATCCCTGCAGCAGATCGGACCCTGACAGATGGTACGAATGGTCAAGAGATCACCTGCAGAACCAACGTCAAGGAAAGATGCTCGAAAGTTGCAACACCACAGTCGACGGCCGGACAGCTGTATATGTGGCTGCGACTCTAATGCTCTCGCGCTGCCCGCACCCTAGAACACCTTCCGAAACGAAACTTGGAGCAGCGCCACGATTTGAAGGGCACGATCCAGACTTTTGTGATCCCAACCGCGGGTCTATGCCAAACCGAGCAAGCTGTAGCGCTGAACGACGAACGGTCCGACGTCCGCAGTTGCTCGACAGGACGAGAAAGTCGCGCAGCCAGGGTCCAGTGGTGCTGGGAATAGGAGCGTTACGCGTCGCGCGTGGTTTATGTTTGTTTCGCAGCCGTCAGATCCGTTGATGATGAAGTTGGCTTTGAGTTGCAGATTGGGGATGCCGCAGCGTTTATCATTCTTTCCACCAACTTCGATCACTTGTGGCGGGCGCCCAGGCGGTCGATGTGCGCTTGTTGCTCTCGGCCTCGTGGTGGGCGGCCGAGCTTGTCGCAACGGGCTGCTTTGATGCACGTAGCGGCAACAAAGGGTGTGATTGGTGCGAGGTCTTTACCAGTCTACACTGCCAAGTGACAGCCTGACAACGGTTGACAGCCTCGAGCTCGCGACACAAGGAGGATCGTTGACGTGTGGTTTGCAGAGGTCAAGGCGGTCTGCGGCTAGGGCTCGAAGAATGTGGATGAAGATGTTGTCACGCAGGCGGATCATGAGCGATCATCGACACGACCTCGAAGCTGAAGATGCCGTTCGCAGAATTGAGTTGAGTGAGCGCGGCAAGATGATCGTTGGGTCCACCAAGCTTTCCGTGCTACTCTTGGTGTTCTTGTGGTCGAGGCAAGCACGACATTCGGGCCCGCCATTGTGCCTGACGGATATGGCAGCAGCGATGAAAGTCTCGACTTGAGACTTTGCGAATCGCGCGATTGTAGTGATCGTTCGTGATCAGCCTCGCCCATGTTTTGAGGCTGTCCACCTCGTAAAAGTATTGATAGCCAGCCGCCTGCGGGCGCCGCTCCGCATGTTCCAAATACCATTGCCTACTTCTGTGGCGGTCTAGATTTTGCGGGGGCAGGAATCTCGAGACGATTTCTCCGCGCCTCACAAGCCAGAGCACAGTCTTACATGACACCATTCAAGCCACAATCTGCGCGTCTTGGACCAGAGCGAGATACCTCCGGCGAGGCTTTATGACGATCTCCGATGGGGAAGGTGGGGGGAATGAACAGCTCACGTGCAATCTTGCAGAGCTAAGACCCACTTCAAAAAGCTTATGTCCATTAGTGCAGGTCCCTGCAACAATTTGCGACAATGATGAATCTCATCGGCTGTAGCACGACGAGGTCCCATACACACAATCGCGAACATGCCACACAAACACAAGCGCAAAGCCGGCGATGCGCCAGAGTATGTTTCGCTCTCCGCATGTGGCCAGCTTCAGCGTCTAACGCCGCATCAGCTTCGATCTCCCGCCCACATCGCGCGCCGCTCCCCTCCCAGTAGGCAAGAACAAGACCGCCTTAAAGTCGAAAAAGCGAAAGATCGCCCACGTCGAAGGCTACGGACAAGATGATACTCCCAAAGCCTTCCAAAGGCTCATGGCCTTCTCGCAATCCGGCGTCGGCGCGAACAAAAAGCGCTCCGCCCTCGACGACGGCCTTGTGCTCTCGAAGAAGCAGAAGGCAGCAGCAAAGCGCGCAGCCCAGCAGTCCAACACCACCACAGGCTCAGACGACGACTCCAAGACCACTCTGAACAAAGCCAACGCAGCCGCCGACGCGAAACAGATCCCCAAGATCCAGCCGGGCGAGTCTATGGCCGAGTACAGCGCGCGCGTCGACGCCGCACTGCCGCTCTCTGGCATCGCCAAGTCCGGCAAGAAAATCGCCGGCGTCGCGGACCACCGCGTCACAAAGCATGAGAAGCGGTTGAAGCGGCTGCAAGCGGGGTGGCGCGAGGAGGAAGCGCGGATCCGTGACAAGGAAGCCGAGGAGGCTGAGCTCGCAGAGGAGGAGCGCGACGAGCAAGCGCTGATATGGGAGGATAAGACGGAGGAAGTCGTGCCGGGACTCAGAGCAAATGGTAAGAAGGCCAAGGCTGCGAAGCGCAAGAAGCTTGTGGGTGAGGTGGATAATCATAGTGAGGATGAGTGGGAGGCGCTGAAGAAGAAGAGGGAGCAGAGGAAGGGGCTGCATGATGTTGTGCATGCGCCGCCGACGTTTAGTAAGGTGCCCAGGGAGATCTTCAAGGTCAAGAATGGGGCCAAGGTGAATGTGAACAATGTGCCGAATGCGGCTGGAAGTCTGAGGAAACGCGAGGAGCTGGGCGAGGAGCGCAGGACGCTTATTGACACGTACAGGGAGTTGATGGCTGCGAAGAAGGAGGAGAGGAACTCGAAGGCGAAGGCATAGTGGAAAACGATACCCAAAAGTTGTGCAGGATCTAATTCTCATAATTCATTGCATTTTCTGCCGTCATCCAAGATTTCCCAATTGTCTTCGTCAAATCAACCACATGTCTATACAACAATGTACTATGTACAGGGATGAATTCAGCATCCCCATTCGGGTCATTTCCCTTTCCTGCAGAGAGATCATTGTTGAATCGCACATACATCACCTAGAGATCACTTTCCCAGAGTAAGTCAGGAGACTTGCTCCGTCTCCACTCCTCTACTCATGACATGCATAAGCGAGATCCACACGACACGACACACATTTACATTCGCTTTTGGGACCATACGTATATTCAGTACTTCCAAGGCCAACAAGCAGCCCACTAAGTATGTGCACGCTGCGATATTGGTGTTCTAATAACACAGCGCTGGTCACATGATTATCAATTCACCGCGGGGCCAATGGCGCAGTGGTAGCGCGTTCGCTTTGCATCATATGCGAAGCTGCGAAAGGTCTGGGGTTCGATCCCCCATTGGTCCATAAGGTTTCATTTTTGGTTTTTCCGCATCAATCGAAGATGCAGAACTTGTTTTTTGGGTGGTGGTGAAAGGTGGGTAGCCAAGTCAGCGAATGTTTGACTATAGAAAACCCACGGCAAAGATGGTGGCCAGAAATCTTGCTAACTTTTGCAAGATAATCACAGTATTTTTTTTTTTCCAGCTCGATTAGAGATCTTTGGGAGGTGTGTTGTGGTCCTAGGAAGCGTTCTTGCGCTGTAGCATAGTTGACCACGACAGCAGAGCAGGGCATTATGGCCCCAAGAAAGATCGAAAGTTCATAAAATACGCTCAATTGACGGCTGTATGTCTCCAGGGAGTTTCGGATCTCGCAGCTTGCGTGGTCGGTAGCTGGTCACTGTATTATGGACCTTACTGACGAAGCAACTGACATGCACTTTCTGGCCTTTGACATGTAACCTACTATCTGTGACTATGCGAGCTGGAAAGACTACCTCTTGTCATAGCTTCACATTACTCGGCATAATGAATTTGCGTAGATCCGTGACATTCCAAGAACTACATATAAGGCAGGTGTCTCAAGTTTTAGTCTGCCCCTTTAGATGTTGTATGCACCTCGACACTCACTCCAAGATGTGTAGTTGAGGAGGACTGAGATGTCGTTGTATGCACCTCGACACTCACTCCAAGATGTGTAGTTGAGGAGGACTGAGATGTCTATATTTGACTACGGCTGAACAAGAGAAGGGTCGTCTTGGTCCATAAGGGTTGTCCACGTCTCTTGATCTGCCAGCCAATGGACCTTTCCGGGGGCACAACACTTGTACAGATCAAGAGCTACCAGCCTTTCATCTCTCATTTCAAGAAGCTGGTAATCACCATTGAAAATATGCTGAAAAATGACAGCCGGCTCGGCAATTCCCTTCCCCTCTGGCAGCATCCCGAAAAGATTGAGATGGTTGACTGCCTCCCAAGTCGTGTCTTCACCGACGTCCACTAAGACCGGTCCAACTATGACCTCACTCCGCTGGAACTTGTCACGTAACCAGTACTCGAAGTCGTCTTCGAAGTTTCCCGTATTTCTGGAGGTGCAGACCATCTTGCGCCAATCGTCACCATACTTTAGCTCCTACGTCCGGCCGGTAGGACGCGTGAGTCGCTGTGGCGCCGTGAGGCGGATTATGGCAATGTCTGCTGGATTTTTGACGTTGCTTCGGTAGTATTCTGTAGCTCGCTTTGCAAAAGCGGGAGAATTGGTGGATGTATACACCTTCCTTTGGTGCTCGTAGTTGAAATCTGCTGTTTTGGGGGACACCTATAGCAGTGCGTCGAGGCGCAAAGCTTCATCGTTATAATCCAAAACGTCATCGAACCTCTTGGCGGTAGTCGGACAGTAGAATGTATCGAAGCCATATACCCTTATCTCGTAGAATTCCTGAAACCGCCTCTTATCTTCGTCATCGATGAGGGCTGGCATGGCCATCTTTCCCTGGAGCCAATCGATTTTCCTTCGGAGCATGTTGGGCAACCGTTGCAAGGTTAAAACGTTGGACAAAACAAACTCCTGAACCTATTTTGAACAGGCTGCGTTCTGCGAACATCGTCAGATTTGCGATCCATGATGCTCGATTGGAGATCGTTATTGATGCCAAGCGCGTTCATTGCTTTGTGCCAGTTTTCTCCTGACCCAGGTCGAACTGTTTGATGTACTCGGCAAGGTCTATATCCAAGGGATAATCATGATCAGGGTCCATTCTGCAATCTCCAAACGGGCGCTCGGCTTTTTCCTCGTTGAAACCACACCACTTTAGGCCTGCGACTGATAAGAGGCGATCTGGGACTTCGAGGTCTCCTTCACTAGGTAAGTAGCCGTAATAAATAGACGTCGGGTCAAGCAGGCGATTTGAGATCGACCAACCATCCTGAATGCGGGCCATGAGGTCGCCATGATCAAGGTTATTGGCTTCGACACTCAACTTCTCGAAAATTTGGTCATCTGAATCCATGGTGATGTTGCGATTGTGATGTGTAAGAATTTATTGGCAACCAGCCTAGATGGTAGTCGCAGCTTTATATTCGCTCGTTGGGCTGAGAACCTCCGACCTTAGGTGAGATGTGACGTACCGTGGTCCGCAAAGGGTCGAACCACAACTTAACTGGACACTACCCCTATAAGTGGAAAGACATGTAACGTGAAATCCTGCGAGATAGTCGGAGGAGATAAGTGAAGGCGCACTCTCGTCAATGTCAGGAAATAATTCGAATAGTCTAGGGTGTTGTCTTGACTGCGTTTCTGTCAAGCTAGAGGCCATCCTTTTCCACTGTCTGGTCTACCCATAGAATCAATACCATGCTTGACGCTCCCTGGCCTTGTCACAGGCGCCGATGCTGACCAGTCTTTCCTATCAAGCGCTCTGCTCATAACGGTTGCAGTGCTTCCTAATCGATCAAACCTCACTGGCGGTGATCCAATATCCTGCACGCTCATTCTACTACTCCGCGGCCATGGTGAGAGCGGCATGTGGATTCCATCGCGCGAGAAGGAAATGTTGTGACTGAATTCGCGAATCCGTGCTGGTGTGGTCGAGACGACGAGAGACGTCAAAAATGGAAGGTTTGCGAAGACAACGAGAAGCGTGGCTTCGTAGATGTAATAAAAGACGGGTGTTCGCGATGTTGGCGTTTTGAGGATGTAAACACGAGCGAGAATGCCGAAGATGAGTGTCATGATGCCAACAATCATGAGGATCGTGAGCAGCAAGCGTCGTGGTGTTGGGATGAACGGCGTCGGTAAGATGAGTACAAGAACAGTAGTCAAGACATTGAATGTTAGAGACACAATGGTATGACTTGGATAAGTCACGCATTGCTGGTTGCTCAGATCGCCAGACTGGCACCACGAGAGTAGCGAAACCTGAGTGATAATGAACGATAGTACGCAGACTACCGAAACAACTTGCACATAGCGTCTCCTAGGAGTGCTGAATGTAACCGAGCTGTCTGCGTTAGTAACAAGTATTCTTGTGGATAAAGACCTCACATACAATATGCGCCAGTAAAGTATCAGCAGACATGCCTTGACGAGCCACGTGATGATGATTTGGAGCTCTTCAAGTACGTATCGATATACTCCGTGGTTGACGAACTTTGTTTCTGCTGCTGGGACCATGAGGACAATCGCTGCCGTGAATGGGAGCAACAGGAAGACCATCATCCAGTCATCGGCCTGCAGGTCTGCAAGCGACTTGAGCATGATGCGTCGAAAGACGACACGTGCAAAGATGATGACAACAGCTATAGCGTAGAACGTCCATGACTGAACGATGAGTGAGGAGGTGGAATCCATGTTGCGTAAAGATGAGAAGACGAAATGTGGACACCCAGAGAAGGGAAGTAGGAAAGAACAAATGTAGTAATACGAGTATTGAGAAGTAAAGGTCACAACAAATGACGAAATAGCGAAGAAGCGAACAGATCTGGACGACAACCGAAAAGCCACCACGGATAGTTATTGCGTTCTCCTACCTTCCCGAGCACGTTCTGTACGACCGCAGTATATCGATAGGGCCTCGTCCATGTCTGAGACAAGCAAAAGCACCGCCCACGCAGTCGATCGTGCACCAATTGCGCGGGATGAAACCCTTCCGCGCCTAGAGACGTGGTGGTCACCTGCAGGCGGTCCCGAAGGAGGGTTACGTTAACCTTTCCTGACCAAGAGCTATGATAGGAAGGTTTGCATGTCCGTAGAAGCTAGGTATCTAAGCATGTCGCTACTGGGCGCCGGCGTGTTGGGTTGGGTGCGGGAGGAAGGGAAGGAACGCAGCACTGCAGATGGCGCCCGGACCCTGGAACCAAACAAGCCTGCGCGAGGCAGTTTCGACCCCAACAAACACCAAGCTTCCATCACCACGACAGGAACCGTGGCGAAGGCGGTATTGACGCCAGTCTTGGCTTGATTGTTCCTGACCCTGATCGACAGCACGGATTTACGCGATGACAGGGATGTATTGCACGCTTCTCACCTAGCCTCAGCTTTGCTTCATACATCATGCCCCCCCTGCAACCGCTTTCACAGTGGGGGCTTTCGATAGATCGTGCTGCAAGCAGTCTTCGACCCTGCTTAGCTCAGGTCTAGAGAGAAGAAGTCGGCGCGAGATGTCCACCAAGAGATGGGATTGCGAGGACAGCGGTTCCATGTTCTCAGAGCGACGGTGTCAGAAAAAGCAAAAGTGACAGCAGCTCAAACTTTCGCCGCGGAGCCGGGTATGCAAGCCTGCATACGAACTTGGAAAATCTGTTGCAAAGACGAAGTACATTCGCCGATACAACGCGAGAAGTCGTCGCTGCTGAAGTCGATTGCCATTGGAAGAAGGAGCGATTTACGACCATTGCCCTGGGACAACTCGCTTCATGACGCTGCGGCCCGGCCCCACGAGACAACAATCTCCCGGTGCCCTTCTTTTCTCACGTCCTCCACGGAACGATGGCAGTCCAGATTAGAACAAGCCACGTTGGTCACTGTAGCTATTCTGGGCACCATACATGCTATCGTTGCACAAGCTGCGCCTTCGGTACTGCAGGATCACTTTCAAAGATGCTCAAATCAGCAACATCATCAGCTTCGAGGACTCCTCGATGAATTCGCATTTTTGTCTTCGCTTTGTATATTGGGGTCTATAACCATCATCACTGTTTCACGTATGCTGACCGACACTTGTCCGCTGTCATGGACGAACGACGCCTGTGTAGACTACTCGATTCAACAAACCGGTGTTGTACGCCGACCCCTGCATCTGCAGCAAGCCTCGCTCTTGCTGCTACATTCTGTCCTTCCTTTGCATCTCGACCTTCCAGAGTGGCTTTTAGCATGCGCGCACATGCCATCGTCATTGGACATCACCTTCCGGACCGTCTCTCCGCGCTCCCGCTTCCCAGAACCACCCACGACTTTGCGTTGACGATGCAGTACGCTCAGATCCACGTGGTGAAGGTACATACCGCAGAATGCAAGATCGAGGAGTA